AGACAATAAACATTCCAACCCAGTGAGATGTCATGTTGTTGCCTTTCCCTGAGTGTTTGTGACACTGAACCCTTCTTTTCATATATCTGTGGCCACATGTATATTTTATTTTGAGAAATGTCGAGGATCTACTAGAGTTGGAGGCCAACCTGGGCTATAGAATGAGAACATACCAGCCAGGGCTACACAGCAGAACTCTATCTCAAAAAAAAAGAAAAAAAAAAAGCAACTTTTGCTTTTCAAAAAGAAAACGTCCTGGATAGGGTCCCCAGTGGCTCCCCTAATGACCAGGTACCAGACCAAGAACTAAAGTAGACACACTCAGCCCTAACTGCATCTTTGCTCAAACGGGGTGGTTGCTCATCAATTCCGATACCCCAGCTCACCATGACCCTGCCCAGCTAGTAGATACAGGCCCACGGCTGGGCATCTGGGAACAGTGCACATGGTCAAATATTCCAAAGAATCAGCTATATTAAAGTCAGTTTCTGCGGGTCAGTTTGGAAACCTGACCACTATCCAAAATAGTGCTCCCATAAGAAAGTATGTGCCGGGTTCCAAACTACTGACTCAATTAGCAAGTTAGGGCTTCATATACTTAAGATTTAATTTTAGAAATACAGCCCCAGGACTTCACAGACTGAATTGAATTATTCAAACCATAGCCATGAGATCTAGGGCCAGCTACATTCCCAGGGCGCGGTGGTGGGGTTCTTATTCAAAGAGTAGGACAAAAAAAGGGCCATCAAAGGCTGAGGGATAGAGAGAGGCATCATGGGGATAGGGAGAAATAGGGTGCTAGGAAAGTTCCCAGGAATCCTCGAGGATGACCCCAGCTTAGACTCCTAGCAATAGTGGAGAGGGTACCTGAACTGGTTTCCCCCAGTAATCAGATCAGTGAATACCCTAACTGTCATCATAGAGCCTTCATCCAGTAACTGATGGAAGCAGATGCAGAGATCCACAGCCAAACACCAGGCTGAGCTCCAGGAGTCCAGTTGACTAGAGAGAAGAGGGATTCTATGAGCAAGGGGCATCAAGATCATGATGGGGAAACCTACAGAGACAACCAAACCAAACTAGTGGGAACTCATGAACTGCGGGCCATTAGCTGTGGAGCCTCTATGGGACTAGACTAGGCCTTCTGCATAGGTGAGACAGTTGTGTAGCTCGACCTGTTTAAGGGCCCCCCTGACAGTGGGATCAGGGTCCGTCTCTGGTGCATGAGCGGGCTTTTTGGAGCCCAGTGCCTATGGTGGGACACCTTACACAGCCTTGGTGCAGGGTGAGAGGTTTGGACCTGCCTCAACTGAATATACCAGGCTCTGCTGACTCCCCATGGGAGTCCTTGCCTTGAAGGAGGTGGGAATGGGGGGGTGGGTTGAGACGGAAGGCTTGGGGGCAGGAGGAAGGAGGAGAGGGGGATCTGTGGTTGGTATGTAAAATGAATAGAAAATTTCTTAATAAGAGAAAAAAAGGCTGAGAACTGTGTACTAGCAACAAAGTATCGTCCTAATATGCACAAGGGTGGGTTTTTTTTTTGTCTGTTTTGTTTTGTTTTGTTTTGTTTTGTTTTGAGACAGGGTCTGACAATATAGCAAAGGCCTTGACTTAGCCTGGTCTGATGTGGAGTTTTCTGCAGTTCTGCTCCAGTCTCCTGAGTGCTGGGTGTTTCTTTGCTATTTAATAAATTGTTCTCCACAGAGGAAAAGTAAAGTTTAATACAATTAGCTAGCACTTCAATTTTACATTGCATAAGGCCAGCTTCGATGTAAATAGAAGAGTTGCTGTAAATGACAGCGTGGCAGACTCACTCTGGACAGAACAGTGAAAATGCCACATGAAGCTAACTCAACTCACTGTACTCCATGATTTCTCTTCATTTTGAAATAGGGTCTCATGTAACCCACAAGAAGAATGTAATCAAATGTCAGCTCCTGACCCTCTTGCCTCTCAGGTGTGTGCCACCATGACTGATTTATGTCACAACTTCTTAGAACAAGTCAGTGTCAGAACTCTGTCCCCAGCTTACTGAAAGGCGTGACAGTTGCCCACAAGCCGCTTCCCTGGATGCTTCATTCCTAATGCAAGTGCTTGCCTGACAGAGGGGAGAAGAGGAGCAAGAGAGGACAGGCAGAACTTAAAAATGAAAACGTAAGGGGCTGGAGAGATGATTCAGTGGTTAAGGGCACTTGTCCTCTTGCAGAGGACCCTGTTTGATTCCCAGCATCTACACGGTGGCTCACAACCTTCTGTAACTCCAGTCCAGGAACTCTCATGCCTCTTCTGGCATCTGAGGGTACCAGGCATGCATGTGGTAAGCAGAACAACACCCATACACATAAAATTATAAAATAAAATTTTTTAAAAAATTTAATTTTTTAATGATTCCTTTTTATTATTTTTTTACATGCATTGGTGTTTTGCCTGCATGTATGTCTGTGTGGGGGTGTTGGAGTTACAGACAGTTGTAAACTGCCATGTGGATGCTAAGAATTGAGCCAGGGTCCTCTAGAAGAGCAGCCACTGCTCTTAACCTCTGAGCAGACATGTCCTGTCCTCTCCTAAAGAATGTTTAACCTCTCCAGACCTTAAAAATTCTTTAGGAGAGGACAGGACATGTTCCTTGGTCATTACCACACCCATCCTTCTTTCTGTGTTCTGAGCAAGCTCTGACTTGAACACAGAGCCCTGCTCTCAGGCTGTTAGAGCCCTCCTTCGGTAGGCATAACATGCTTTGCGTACCTGCTGTAAGTCTCACTGAACTCCCCACATTGTGGGCTCACTGAAAAAACAACAACAAAAACTGTGCCTGTGGCACCGTGTACAGCTCACTTGGAGAAAGCTTGCCTAGCACGCAAAAGGCCCTGACTATGATTCCCAGTGCCACATACACTGGATGTGGTGGCTCATGCCACTAATCCCAGAACTCAGAAGGTGGAGTCAGGAGAACCAGAAGTTCAAGAAAAAGAAAAATGTATGAATTTCGAAATGACAGCAGATCATTAAATCAGGCACCAGATTATTGGGTTCTCTGCAAGCACAGAGCATCCTTCAATGACGATGCCAGTTATATCCCCTGACCCTTTGCCCAGCCAAAAGTCAATCATCCAATAGTTAGCAGCTGGGAGTAGTCCTGAAGGCATGGAGTGGGCTTGAGCTACAGTGTCTGCCATTGGCCATTCATTCAAGTACTTATTAGGCACCTGCTGTGTACCAAATAAGGTACCGCAGAAAAAGCAAAAGGCCCAGCTTCATTATATTAATTAGTTTGTTAGATTGTCAAGTGTCAAAAGTAAACTAGGGGAGGAATAAGAATTGGAGTGGCCCAGAGATTTAAATGTTGACATACTAATCTTTTTATGGCCATACAAGTTATTAAAAATACCGTAAGAGAACGCTGAGAACAATGGGGATGGAAGGCGCCGGTGCCGGGATGCAAGCGACGCCGAGCCCCAGTGGTTCCAGCCAAGCTGCTCCATTTGTAGAGTAGGAAACAAGTCTCCTCAGAAAGTGACCCCACAGCCAGGTGTGGTGGCGCACGCCTTCAATCCCAGCACTCGGGAGGCAGAGGCAGGTGGCTCTCTGTGAGTTCCAGGACAGCCAAAGCTACACAGTGAGATCCTATCTCAAAAAGATTTATTTTAAAAGGTTGTTTCACTGATTGTAAGGGCTAAACAAATTCTTAGTTCTTACAGCCCTTAGAAAGTTCAGTAGCCCACATATGAACCAGCTTTTCAGTCAAACCTTTCACATTTTCATGTATAAACAAGCCATTTGACCAGACAAATTTTTTGTCTTAAACTAAGACAAAAGGAGTGTGGGTCGGAAGGGTGGCATCCCACTTTCCTGTAAGGAGATGTCTCCTTTTCCTAAGTGAAAGTGAATGATGAGTGAGGTGACCCACCAGGGCTGTTTTATTGGGCCAAGCTCAACCCAAACTAACACAAGCTAGTGAGGTGCTGTGCTGGCTAGTTTTACGTCAACTTGAACCAAACTAGAGTCATTTTAGAAGCGGTAACTTCAGCCGGGCGGTGGTGGTTGAGAAAGTGCCCTCACTGGATCAGCCTATGTGCAAGCCTGTGGTGCATTTTCTTGGTTGATAATTGATGTGAGGGCCCAGCTCTGTGGGTGGTGCCATCCCTGGCCTAGAAGTCCTGGGTTCTATAAGAAAGCAGACTGAGCAAGCCATGAGGAGGGACCAGTAAGCAGCATCATGGCCTCTGCATCAGCTCCTGCCTGGAGTTCCTGCCCTGAATTCCGGGAAGATGGACTATAGCTGTAAGATGAAATAAAAATAAACCCTTTCCTCCCAAGTTAATTTTGGCCATGGTTCATGGTACAGGTGAGTCTTCTTAATGGTTTCCCTAGATACCAAATCTCTTTCCAAGAGAAGTGTCCAGTAATTTCTGTCCCTTCTCAAAATCGTTACTCTCTGTCCATCTCTGTCTGTCTCTCTGTCTCTCTCCTTCCCCTTTTCTCCATGGTCTTGCTAAGCCCAGACTGACCTGCAAAACTCTATATAGTCCAGACTGCCTCTTGAACTCTCCATCCTCCTGCCTCAGCCTCGTAAGTGCTGGGCTTACAGGACCCAGTACATAACCACACCTAACTTCTAATACATCTCTTGACACATGTAAGAACTTACAATAGCTACGAAGATGGAAATGCTCAGAAGAAAGCAAGAGGCCCTTCCCGACCCTTGCTTTTCTGTCTTTTTCCCCTTCTAAGTGAATCAGTAGACAAAGATACAAGGAGGCTTCTGGAACCTTATTCTCGAGTCATTTTTTACCCTCCAAGTTCAAATTCCACTTGTTAATTTTTAATGTGTCTGGATGACAAAGGAGAAGAAAGTACATTACCCCCTGGGAAATTAAAACTGTGGTGACCTTGCCAAGAACTCAGGCCACATGTGCCAAGTACCTAGCCCAGGCCATCCCTGCATACTGCCACTTCCTGTTTAATTTCGGTGGGGCTAAATATGAAACTTCATGCCTCACCTACTTTTTCTTCCTGGACTTCCGTGTGCCAGGAGACAGAGGCTGGGTATCAGTCTGGGGTTACCGGTTCACTCAGTCGGAACGAAGAGAGCGGCTGGGGTTGCTTGTTACTCATTCCCAGCTTTGCTCAGACCTGGGTTTGCTCAGAGTGGATGCTGGCCTGATTAATTGATGGTGGATTCTGCCCACGTTCCTTCCAGGGTGAGGGCCAGCATCACTGAATCTGGCTTTGTCTTGAACCTCATTGTCCAATTCCGGATGCCTTCCTGCATTTCAAGGCTCTTGAAGGCTTCATGAAGTGAAAGAGACAAGAAAGGGACAGTCAGACAGGACACACTGGCTGTACTATGCTTCCCAGTCCACCCGGTTCCAATGAGCTCCTGCATCTTGAATGAGAACTGAAGTCGACTGCCTCCCTCTGGCTGTCACATCCTCACTCTCGGGCTACGGATGCAAACGCAGACTCATCCACTTATTCCAGTGTACCGCCTGGCACGAGTATTTGGTACACAAGGCTCTACCATTCACTCGGTTTTGCTGGGGAAACACACACACACACACACACACACACACACACACACACACACACACCAAACCAATAAACCAGACTTGGTGGCACTGAATGCCCTGGGATGCCAGAACTCAGGAGGTGGTGTCTGGGAGATCGAATTCGAGGTCATCCTCACCTACAGCCTGGAAAAATGAAAGAAAAAGGGCTGATGAGATTGCATAAAAATGCAGGCTGAGCAAGCCACAAGGAGCAAGTCAGTAAGCAGTGATCTCCCATGGCCGTTGCTTCACTTCCTGCCTGTAGGTTCCTTTGACATGGCTTGTGATGTGGAAGTGAACTAAGCCTTCCTCCCCCAAGCTGCTTTTGGTCCCGTGTTTTATCAACCCTAATTGAGACACTGACCAAGCACAGCTCCTTGGCACACTGTTGCTTCCCCAATATGGAAGTTTCTATACCATTCTCGTTAGAGTATGCACTTTTGTTTTTCCTTAAATTTCAGGATCTTTGGGCCGGAAAGATGGTTCAGTGGGTAGAGCACTTGGCACCAAGCTTGAGTATAATCTGTAAGAACGCACACAGGAACAGAAGAGAACTGACCCTGACAGGTTGCCATCCGACCTCCACACACAGGCCACGTCACGGCAGGTGTGCCACCTCCACCCCACACATAAATAAATACATGTGAAGCAAAAAATAATAATGTCAAACTCCTGGCTCAGCTGGTCCCCTCACCTTAGTCTCTGAGGGGCCAGGACCACGGATGTAGGCATGCACCCACTGCTTTTTATTTATTTTTGTCTTTCTCTTGCTGTATATCTGGAGCTACTAATGATCAGTCTGGCCTTTGCTGACCTAAAATGTCAGTGGAAGTTGCTTTCAGCTTCTCGTTCCACAACAAACACAACAGTGTCATCTAGATTTGGGATCATCCTTTAGCAAGGAGGAAGAAAAACCGAAAGTCTCTCCTCCAAGAGGAGGTGTAGGTCCTCAAGATACCATTTCCTTCTCCTGGGAAAGAATGTGAGCCACCAAGCAACAGCAGGAAAGAGGTGTGGGGAGAGACCTTCACCTCCGCTAACGCACTCAAACAGCAGACTGAAGAGGGAGAGCCCGCTAGACTCTTTGTGACGTGTGAAAGTCAAGACAAAGGCCTTTGCAAATGAGAGGCTCCGGCTCTGCCAAGGCACAGCCCAGCCAGGGAAATGGCACAGATGTCTTTTCAAAGAGAAGCCCCGCACCCGCTGGCACCTGGAACACAAGACTGAGCAAGCCTCCCCTCCTCTCATACCCCAGAGCAGTCTGGGAAGCAGGAACTGGTGCCTGGTTTCCTTGGCTCTCTACTGCCTGGATTGAACTGTCAGCACAAAGCAGTGTCTGGTTTGGTTTGGTTTGGTTTGGTTTGGTTTTTGAGATAGGAATCTCATTGATCCCAGACACGCCTTGAACACAAATGTAGCCAAGAATGATCTTGAACTTCTGATCCTCTGCATCCACCTCACCTCCAGGGTGCTAGAATTACAAATTTGTGCCATTACAGCATTTGGTGCTGGAGATCAAACCTAAGGCTTCCTGCATGCTAGGCAAACACTCTACCAACTGAGCCACATCCCCACCCCCACAGAAATAAGTGTTTCTTTGGACTAAAGAAGACAGCATGTTTGCAACTGATGAAGACATCTTCCCCCAAACAGTAAACTCAGACGATGCTGCTACCAAATTCAGCTCAGCAAGCTGGTCCTGTATCACGATGTGAGTCAAAGGACAGACAAATAAACTGTCCCCTTTTTTGAGACAGACTCTTCATGTGGCCCATATGCTGACTTTGAACTCACTACATAGCTGAGGACGACCTTGAACTCCTGATTGTCCTGCCTAGACAAGCACATATCAGCACACTAGGTAGGAAGGCCCTTTCTTACAGGTTCCCAAGCTAGCTCGAGACACAGGACCAGGTAAAGTAATACAAGCAGTACCATACTGGTCTGTGCTGGCCTAGCCCACCATAGAGAAGGCTGTGGTGGGGGCTGGGAGGGCTCTGCCTGGCAGTCACATTTGGGGGGTGGGTCCCACTCCAGTGCCAAGAAGCAAACCCCAATCCTTCCTTTCAAAGTTCTTTGTTTTAGGAGCTGGCAGAGGTTTGGAACGAGTTACATTCTTCAGATACATAAAGTCCTAATTAGTGGTTGCTCTCTGAAGCCAAACAAAGCAGCCAATAGTGGCTTCAACGGCACCCTTCTGACGACAGGCTAGGACACAGGAGGACTTGAAGTGAGAATAAGCCCTGGCTGAGCCACATTTTGGCTGGCTTCCCAATCATCACCATTGATCCCATGCCTGCTTTACTCAGCAATGTCTTTTTCTCTTTATCACCCCAGAGCAAGGTCAGTCTTTATTCAGCAGTCCCCAAGGGGAAATATTAACAAATTCCCTAATTAAAAGATGTACACAAACTTATCCTTCAAAACTACCATTCCTTCTGAATGCAGTAAGCAAGCAAGTTCTTGAATCAAGTTGTAACATCTAGGAGGTTCGACTTGGCGAAGGACTGGAGAACGGCTTTCTTTCCAAGCATGAGTTGTAAGTGTTTACCCTCCAGGGTGGAATTATAATAGCTGATTCTCATTTAGGACAGTAGACTCAATTTCTGTTGTTATTTTATTACATTTATTTATAGCGGGGAGGCGCTACCATATATGTGAGGCTAATTTTTTTGTTACCTTGACACAAACTTGAGTTATCTGAGAAAAGGGAACCATAATTGAGAAAATGCTTTCATAAAATTGCCTGTAGGCAAGTGTAACACAAATCTTAAATGGTCTTGTTAATAAAAACAAACCCGGAGCCAGGTATTGGGGTAAATTCTGAAAGATCAGAGAGACAGAGTCAGCCATAGATAACCTCACCTGGCCAACTTCTCAGCTGATCTTGTTTCCTCAAACTGGCAGCCTCTGTGTTCTCATCCGGATGGATCTCAGCTGAACTGCTGCTAAAAGCTAAAAGCTTAAAAAAGCCTCTAGTTCCTGGTCCTCACTCCTTATATACCTTTCTGGTTTCTGCCATCACTCCCTGGGATTAAAGGCGTGTGTCACCATGCCTGGCTGTTTCCAGTGTGGCTTTGAACTCACAGAGATCCAGATGGATCCCTGCCTCCTGAATGCTAGGATTAAAGGTGTGTGTGCCACCATTTTCTAACCTCTGTATCTAGTGGTTGTTCTGTTCTCTGACCCCAGATAAGTTTATTAGAGTGTACAATATATTGGGGGTGTCTAAGTCTAAAAAGCTTATAACTAATACAAGAAAATACTATATACAGTAAGTATATACAATATATACAGTCAAGAGTTATACTAACAATGTCCAGTCCATTATCATTTGACAAATACAGATAAAAATTTTCATTACTTATCCTATTTAAAACAAGTAGTTCATTTTTAAAAGTAGATTCAATAATCTCCCTTTTTATCTTATCAGGCAAGCCTATAAGGCATTTTCTTAATAGTGATTGATGGGGGAGGGCCCAGCCCATTGTGGGTGGTGCTGTTCCTTGGCTGGTGGTTCCAGGGTGTTACAAGAAAGCAGGCTGAGCAAACCTCGTGGAGCACTCCACCATGGTCTCCGCATGAGTTCCTGCCTCCAGGTTTTCACCCTGAGTTCCTGCCATGACTTCTCTGGATGATAGACTATTATATGGAAGTGTAAGATGAAATAAACTTTCTTCTCCAAGTGGCTTTTAGCCAGCATTTTATCATAGCAATAGAAACCCTAACTAAGACAGTCTGCATGCGGAAGCCAGAGAACAGCTTTCAGAAGAACACTGTCTCCTTCCACCATGCTGGTCTCAGGAACTAGTTGTCAGCATTGCCTTAGCCCACTGAGCCGTTTCATGACTCAAGGTCCAATTCCTTGTTCTCCTTTTTTTTTTTTTTTTTAATGAAACAGGATCACATTATGCAGCCCAAGCTGGACTTGAACTTTCAATTCTTCTGTCTCAGCCTCCTGAACGTCCGACTGCAGACTTGAACCACCACACCGTCAATACTAAGCTTTACTACTCTTTCATTCCGGCATGGATGAGGACCTGCCGTGTGCACACGAGAGCCTCAGAGCTGACTTCCCTCCGTCTAGTTCACTGTCAGCATTCGAGCTCATTTGTCAGCACAGAGCTCAGGCTACATGACATTAAATGTTGCTATTTTATGATCCCATTGATACGATTCACACTTCATGAGGATGAGAACTTCAAGGCTGTTTTGATCACAGCTGTCTCTCCAGAGCCTAAGAACAGTACCTGGCAAAAAAGTGCTTGTTCAGTGACAGCAGGTGCTTGGTTACTTAGTCGATGGGTGAGCATGGAAGGTGCAGCCACAATTCAATGACATTTCCATGTAAAAGAAGAAGACTGGCCCTGGTCTAGTCCTGGAAGGAAGAAGCTTGCCTCACAGCAAGCTTGTAGCAAGCACACTGCTTCTGCCTAGATCACAAGGTAGGGTGCTTAGGCGACCAAGGAGGTGCTAAGGCAGTTTAGTCTGCAGTATAGAATCCTTTTTTCCCAAGAAAGGTCACATTTATCAGTCAGGACAGGTTTATATATATATAATATATATAAACTGAAATGTTACAATAAACTCAATGGATAAAATGCATAGATAATGCAAGGGAAGCCCCAGAAAACCAACCACAAGGGAAGGAAGGGCTGAGATCTTCCAGGCGAAGCTTGCAGAATGTGACTCTGCCAGTGTGGCCCAGAACTTCAGGAGTTCATCAAAACACACAAAGATTTGTGCAGCTGAACAAATAGCCACTTTCTTAGCTTAGGTGCTGAGACATGACCCCTGCAGCCACACCCTGGACCTGCCACTTACTAGATGTATGGTCCTGCTCTGTCTCCATATGTTACAGACATACTAGACTCAACCTCAAGGGCTGACATAAGTATCCAACTGACTTAGTAACCACATTTAGAGCAGAGTAACAGTGTGAGGTATTATTGTTATTGTTACTCTCTTTAACAAAAGCATGCCTAAGTATCAGAAAAGAAATTACCAGCTGTCTTAGTCAGTGTCTATTGCTGTGAAGAGACACTATGACCATGACAACTCTTAGAGAGGAAAACATTTATTTGGGGCTGGCTTACAGTTCATTGGTTCAGTCCATTA